TGATACAGCTGTGAAAAGGATAAGGTATATTTGAAGTTGTGGAAGAATAATTTTTGTAGAATTTTGGGAAAGCTTACCCATTTCTCATAATTTTCTTGCATCTCTTCAGTTCTTCTGGAATTTGCCATCTTATTTGCAATTTAACTCTTCTGAAATAAAATATTGACAAATATATCATAACTACGTGAATTTTATCACTTAGTTTATATACAGCATTCTTTACATCTTTACAGCTTCTGCAAAAGCAAGCTGTTCAAAATTTTATCCTACTCAGCTTCCCCAACCCAACTGAAGTTTTGTCATTGAATTTATAACTTCTTCGCTTCATTTTGAACTTAGATTTGGAGCTAATAAAAATTTTAGAATGCAGAGTAAAAGAAGAAAAGCTGGATTCCATGGAAAATACATGGTTTGCAGGATATTAGATTTTATTTTTACTCTGCCACTGGCTTGATTGTAATTGGTGAAAACGTTTAAGCTACCTTATGTTTAGTTATCTCTGTAAAAAAAACTGATGTAGTAGTTTCTGTTAGCCAGCAGTTTGAGGGAATAGGTTTCCACCATCTATGGATTAACTGTTATCAAAATTAGAATACTTTGTAAACCTACTCCTTAATAAAATTATGTTAAGTATAATGTATTCTTCCTTTGGATGAAACTTCAGAATTTTAGCTTGTAAGATCACAGTTATGTTCATAAATAAGCAGTTCACTACTGATGTATAGAGATGTTTGTGACTCAATCTCATTTGTTAGGCCATATAACATATTACCCTACACTGAGATGATTATAAAGATATGGATTTAAATGCTAGAGTAGAGATAATAATTAATTAAATGGTACCTGAGCATCTGAAAGAGCTACTAAAATTTCAAATAGTAAGATTTTCTATGAAGGAATGAGTTTCAGTGGGTCAGAAATGCTTTTAGCACCAGGAAGGAAAACAGGATACAAATACAGTCATCCACTGGTTTATTCTTTTTTCAGAAGCCAATTGTTAAACTTAGTATAGGAGATATTTACAACTTCTACACTGATTTTACAGCATCTCCAGTAATTTGACATATATGTAAGAAAAGTAATAAAATAGAAAAGTAACAAATTGATTGACAAATATTGACCATTTGCATTTTATAGAAATTAATGATTATATAATAAAACACATACATTTATAAAAAGAAATCAAAATAATTAAGGCTCACCTTGGTAAGTACACAATCTGTGTATTTGTATCAAAATCACATGTGGTTTCTCTTCTCAACAAACAACTGACTACACTTTCATAACTGTGCTTCACCAAGTTTATTTTCTGATTGTGTCCTAATATCTGATTACAACACTGGTGAATTTCCAGGTAAAGCACACTGTATTCTTCCTACTGTACTTGGGAAACAATGTGAGCAGAGAAAATTCACTGAGCCAAATAAACACTTTAAAAAAACAGATTTGTACTGTCTACATACCTAGTTTTCTATTGTTTAGTCCCATAATATCTTTTTAGTTAGTCAGCTATATTAGTAATTATAATAGGTAAAATAATGTCTTTAATAAGTCAACAGCACACTTGCACAAAACATACTTATGGAGTAATACTTCACGAAAGGTTTTGATTTTATTACCTCATTGCCACTCCCTGAAAATAATCATTTTCTCTTTGCTCATATCTATATTGTATTCAATGACACATTTTGGTATATATTATGATCCTAGTTACCCTGTTAAATGATATTTCTTTATCTCTTACTTTTTAAATGGATTGAAAAAGTATTGAGCTTATACAATGTACCAGCTACTAGTTTATAAAAATCAAAAGGTATGTTTCCTTTTCCTGAAAAGCTCACATTTTAAAAAATCTATACTACAGTCTCATTACTACTCATCATGGCCCCAAGTTCAGCAGTACAGTCATCATCTAGGATATCACTAGAAATTCAGAATTTAAAAAAAA